GCAATTGCCAACGTCTGGCGTAGTCAATGGAAGGACCAGCTTACACTCACAATACAGTCAAACTATTGTTCCTACGGTGGTCAATTATGAACAAGGTTTTGTAGAAACAGCGGGGCACGTTTAGAAATGGAAGTGATTTATGATATTCTATTTTACGAGAGGGAATAAAAATAAATAACGATAAAGAGGGAAAAACAAATACAGCAGTAGGCTTCTTGGGTGCCTTCTATAGCAAGGAAATATATCAATATACCTGCCAAAATATTTTTTTAATTCATTACAATTGTAAAGAAAAAACACTGCTAAATACTGAACATTTTTTAGGGAAAATGCTTCAAAAGTATGCCAATGAAAACCCAATTCTTATAAATAAAGAGTTACAAATATAAAAACCCTCCTTGCAAAATAAAGACCAGGAAATTTTGTCATAAAATAAACCCTCATTCTTGCATCTCATTTTCTCAATAGGACACTCACGTAATCCAGAAAGTAAGGGGGTAAAAGTAAACTGAAAAAGGTTAATGACCATCTTGGTATTATATGCATTTATTAAGCCGTTTTCTGATAAATAGGAAGCTTAATTTATAAGCATCATGATAACTGTTAATCTTGTGGACTGGAATTACAAGGGTGGAGTGAGAAACGACCATTATGTAGCAAGGTATAATTACCAAGACCTGATGTCATTGTTTAGTTACAAATATTCACTTTTGTCTAAAAGAATGCATGGAAAAATTGTTTTTCAACAAGATCACAAACAGTTAATAAAAATAAAAAAACAAACAAACAAAAAGTATAGATGCTTAAAAATGGACAGTAAGTTTATACCGGTAGGATACTGTAATAAATAAGCAATGCAGATCAACTCTTTACAAATCATAAAGACAAAGCATTTGCTAAATTAATGTCTTAGATGCAGCTGTCTTTTCTCAGTATCACAAAAACTTCCAGTCACAGACACTGCCCACACTAATAAATTCTCTGTAGATATTATATTCAGTCCAACACCAGAAAATCTAGCTTACTGTATTATGGTAATCTATCAAAATTCCACACATACTTCTTTGATAAGACTCTCTGTTCTACTGCACAAAAATAAACCACTCAACTGTGAGCCTAAAAATACTGGGGTACTAAGTTATGACTAATAGTTCTGAATAAAACTCGGAGCTGGTGTGGGCCCATGTTCCGCATCTGAGCTCAGCTGGATGACTCAGTTATTCATTTAACTAGTCTCCTAGTAAGCAGAGAAGAGTAACAAGGAAAAATAAAATCTACAATTAAAACTACTGGACGGCTTTTCACTGAAGTGAATGTTTCCTAGCATATTTATCAAAATTCTCGAGATAGGCACAGCAACAAAGTCTACCTTTCCTCTTCTTTAACATTTCTGCAAAAAAAAAAATAATTGCATATGTGAGTACAACACAAATAACATCATCAGACTTTTCCAGCCCACCATTTCAATTCTTACAGATGAATCACAATTTAAAGTCGTTCTGAAAGTTCATACCAAAATTGCACATTATGATAAGAACAAACAAGAGATATTTCAATTTACTGTAACTACTTCAAGTTATGGCATATTTTAAATAAATGTGACATCAATTAACGTTAAAATTGGAAAAAAAAACAACATTAAGTAAGAATGAAATAAAGAAAAGAAAGAAAGAAAAGAAGAGTAAGAAAGAAAAAAAAAATAAAAAAAAAAAAAAAAAAAAAACATCTAACTGCAAAGAATTCATACGGAAATCATTGTGTGAGAGGAAAACAGGGTGACCAGATGTTTGTTAATAATGGGTGAAGAAAAAAGTTGGAAACCAAAATAATTAAGGTCACACAGCAGCAGCTACTACCGAACAACTATGGGGTCTACCCCAGTGTCACGCACAAGAGTGATCACAACGGACCTTTTGAATTCAGTACCATAAGGCAAAAATATGTCTAATCATGAAATTTATCAATAAAATAGAAATCACCTGTTCGGCCTTTATCTATATTCGAGCATGAAGGCAATACCTGGCTATCCTTAAATTCAGTACCTATCATAAAATATAATATATATTATTATCAGCATCACAATCTCTGCCACTGGAAACTAACCAACTGCATGGCCTATGCTGTTTGGACATTTGTTGGGTAGATATGTTACAAGATTAAAAGATATATAAAAACAGACACAGACCCGCCTAAAACAAGAAAGATAATACTTGATGATCTATTTACAAATGTACTCTGACCTACTTATATGACATAGCAACCCTAATGCATGGACAAGGCAGACCCACAAGTTGATATGCTTAATGGTGTGTAATACACCAAGTCTATGGGCTTCTTCCAATATAAATCTGTAGATATTCAGAACAAAAATTGGAAATAATCAGAGGTAAACTGACCCAACCGACGATGCCCAAGTTTGCTCAGCTAAGAGAGGCTACATTGAGTAATTACTCAAAAAATATGGACAATAAAAAGGATTTGATAATATAAAACAATTTAAAAGCAAACATAAAAATGAAACAACAAAATAATCAACCATGTACTGTATTACCACATGCACAGATGCACCGGCACACAACACACACACACAAAAAATTCAACACATTAACGCATTCAAACACTATCAGGATGAAACTAAATGAGGGACATGGAATCTTCTGGGCTCTAGAATAGGGGAAAGGCCGTGCCCTTAGCTCTGGGGTCTAGTCGGGAAAGGTGCAGACGCTCTCTGCAGCATTATCGTTCTCCAAAAGTAGCAATAAGAGCTGGAAAGAAAAGTTAATCATTTAGTTTTAATTCGTACCAGGGAACCTTTGCAGAAACTTAAGTATATCAGAGAGAGATGTGGAATTAGTACTGTCAATATGATAATAAAAAACCTATACCAAAAATAACCAGCAGGTTTGCTTCACGGTTAATGAAATCCCATGGCAGAAAGTTTGATCTAGCTTGATGAATACTGTGGATCTGGGTTTCCACTTCCACCTCCAGTCAGGGCTTGTGACTGCAAAGAAGTACAAAAATATGCAGAATTATTACACATTTGCAGTCCTTTAAAATGTTTGATATCAACAGAGGTTTGGTTCCCTCCTCCTTTACTTCTCTTTCTCATTGAGAATCATCATTAATGATGGGTGAAGAAAAAAAAAAAAAAAAAAAAAAAAAAAAAAAAGAAAAGAAAAAAATATGAATAAAACGAAAAAGAAAAAGAAAAAAAAATCTACACCAGGAGAGTCAATGGCCAACACGCCGAATTTGAGTGCGGGAGTTCCGGTACATCAAGACGAATCACGGCTTGTGCGCTTTTGGAGCATGCGTAGCGAACATCCCAACACCACATATCCAGCAGTTAGTTATGAACAATTCGGGATGTTACATCTGTTGTGTAGGGGGGGGGATAAGAGGACAACAAATCCTATACATTTTATTTTTGTTTTATTAATAGGAATATGAAAAATAAGGATAGGCAAAACAAATAAGAGGGTAACCAACGCTCTAAGGAAAACTTAAGTGTAAACGACTTTGAATACTTAAACTATGGAACGACACATTGTGGTAGGAAGTTTACAATAGTAACAAGTACAAGAAGGATTCATGTGTGTAACAAAATTGGTATCCACGACACAGCGGGTTCCTTTGATATTTAATTCCACATGGCCAAAAGAAACTGACAATCAGATTTTAAACGAGTTTCACTGCAAAGTATGTTTATTTTGATTTTCTTTTCAGCATTGTGTATTCAATTTCAGAGGGGGGAATATTGCTTGTCCTTGGAAACCAACACCGAAAGACTAAAAGAAAAAAGAAGGGAAAAAAACTTTGCAAATCAATATAAACATTTTAGCATAAACATTAGACTCTTTACAGGGTAGGACAAACCTTAGACAAGGAAACCTTTTAAAAATAATCCCCATGGTTGACCATTTAAATTAGCAAGGCATCGTACCCGAGTAAAGCCCAGTATAGATGGTGGGGTTAGAGTGTGGCAAGATGAGGCGGTGGGGTTGTGGTTTAGAGCTGGTGTGATGCCGTCTGAGTGTGTGGAAGCTACGGGTACATGAGGGGAGGCCCAGTAAGGCCCAAATGGTATTGAACAGCCCAGGAGAGGGTGTCGTCTTAGCTGCTCTAAGCCATTTGAAATCTGAGCAAACTGCTGAAGCGCTGCAGTGAAATGAGGGCGTCTTGTGAGTATGCCAGTTCTCATTCCAGAAAATTGATTAGGGGATATTCAAAGTGAATAAGTATAAAAACAATGGGTCTTAGGATTATATTACCAGCCCACATTCTGTTTTCAATAGCTACAAAGTAAGCTGGTATTGGTATTTTGTTGTATGGAGAGTCACTAATTGAAACTGTATAAAACTCATTTTATTAGGAAGATTTGACTATGTCGACTACATATCTGGTATCATTTGTTAGAAAGTCAAAATTCAATGTGAGATTTACCTCAATATATTTTGACGATTTGTTCAGAGTGTTTTACAAACTGGCAATGCAAACCTGTATATTAAGATACCTATATAATTCTTACGTGAAATGATGTGAGGCTATGAAATTCATAGAGAATTACTACAAGTGTTTTAAATAATGTGTTTAGATGTTTCTACCATAATACTAGTAGAACTTTGATCCCAATCTCTTTCAGGTTCCCATTATTTCAAAAAACAATTTAAAATCACAAGAATCAGGAGAACTTGCAGAAATCAGGGTTTGAAAAATCTCTCAAAAATGTAATACAAAGCTTTTGAGGAGAAACTTCTTTAAAATACCAGTGGGTTATTTATGAATTTCTGCACATCAGGGATTGGAGTTGATCAAGAAGGTTGGCAACATGTTCGTAACTGCCTTGGAGCCAATGGTTGCCCGCAAACAGGGGGGCTGAGAACAATAAGCTGTTTTGTGCTAACGATGGATTGGCAAGCTAAGACTATGGAGGGAAAATAATATGTCACTTATACTATTTTAAAAAAAAATGGGAAACAACATTAAGGAAATTGACATCAGGCAAGTGCTAAGACATTCATAAGATTGTAAGAGTACATGGAAAACATAGAAATCTAAAAATTAATAAAATTATAAAAAAAATAAATAAGATGATAATAATAATAACAAATAAAACAAACAGTATCAATAACAATAAAAATGGGACTTCTCAAAACCGGAAACATAGTTGTGTGTATGGAGATTGATCATGATGACCATCAACTGAGGGTTCTCCATAATCTGTTGAATCGGTGATTGCATGCCGGGGCTACTGAAAAATGCATGGCAACCCCTTCCAACCAGATTTTGTTTTGACCCCATGGTAGTGGGAGGGGAGGTGTTGGTACTTTGGCGGTAATGGTGGTGTGGTGGTCGGTTGTGGCGGAGGAGGCGTGGAGGTGGGGGGAGGTGGTGGTCCTTGAGCCCAGGGGTTCGGGAGGGGGTCGCGTTCTCACGGCCAGCTTGTGGCCGCATCTACGGAGCATTCTTCGCGGTTATGACATGTTACTAAATAGCATTAATATTTAAAAGCCTATACAGAGAAAGTCAGTTAATAAAAGGACTAACTTTGTACAATATTAAAAACTTTTTATTCACATCCAACATACCAGAATTGTTTCCAGCTGATATTGCGGACTAGAAGGAAGCAAAAGATTTGATCCAAAACTGACTCTTGAGCAAGCCATTTAACATTGGTTCCGGATTATCCCGATACCTACGCGCAGTGCACTGTATCCACCTGAATGCGAAAGAAAGAGTTAAGCGTTACTACAACTATTAGACAAACATGTCTCACATTCAAATATTATTCATCCAAAATCTAGTGTGACATTTAACAGTTATAACAATAAACTATCTCCAAATTGTTTTGTAAACAATTAATAAAGTCTCAAGAAAAAATAAGCACAAAAGTCACTATAACAATAACCCCATATTCTACACCTCAAAAAACTAAAATATCACAAACCCGGAATGGAATCCAAGTGGAGAGTGAACGGCATGGGATCTCATGAGCTCTTGCAACATGGCTGGATTACGGGCAAGCTCCATAAGTCTGTTCAACCATTCAGGGTGGTTCAACATTGGCGATATATCAGGATTCCTCGGCAAAGGAAAGTAAAAATAAGTATAGAATGTACAATGCAGTGAAATACACTTCCGTACATAACCTTGTTCAGTTTCTGCCAGATTATCAGTGATCGGACTCTGTCTACTCTGAAAAAAAAACTTTTATGTTGTTTAATACCCCAAACAATCGATCTATGCGTAAATGTTAATTCAGCATAATTTTGTATATTTTGTTTCATAGATATCAAAACAAATTCTAAACACAATCATTTCACCGTGTCGACAGTATAACAGAATTGCCCTAGGATTTGAGGCTAGAAAGTCATTGTACAACGTACCCGAATCTTGACGGTACAAAATCAGAATTATCAGCAACCGTAATAGAGAGAATGAAAAAGCTTCTTATAAATTCTTCCCCTCTACCCATCCCCCCCCTCTATACCTATATACTGTACTGTGTGGTTGCAGCGGTAATTATAATCACATCTAGCAATCAGGTTGACCTGCATTTAAAACCCTCGCTGCCAGGGATTGGTAACCCTGGCAATTCCTTGCAAACACGGATAATTTAGAAGCAAACATGAAACAGACAAGTAGGTGTCACACACAAGAATACTCAGTGGCTAGTCAAATGGAATCCAAACTGTAAACAGTTAAAACCTTAAACTTCGCTCAATCTCGCTAATCACACCTGATTTCTATGCGCGATCTCTCTAGTACACGATCGTGCGCGCATCTCTCGAGCGGCCCCCTTATGCTGGCGCTCTCTCTCTGCTTCTACCCCATCTCTTTCTCTCTCTATATCCCCTCTCTTTCGCGCGCTCTCTATCTCTCTCTCTCTACTCTCTCTCGCTCTATCTCTATCGCTATCTCTCTCTCCGCGCTTCTCTCTTCTCTATCTCTCTCTATCTCTCTCTGTATCTCGCTCGATAGCTCTCTATCTATCTCGCTCTATCTATCTCGATATCTCTTACGCTCCTCCACCCGAGCGTTCTCTCTCTAATCCCCCAGAGCTTTCTCTTCTCCTCCCCCTCGAGCTTTATCTCTTCCTCCCACTATCTTTAGCCTCTCCTGCCTCGCCTATCTTCTCTCTTCCTCGCCCTATAGTTCTCGCTTCCTCCCCCCTATCTTCTCTCTGATCCTCCCCTACTTCTCTCTATCTCCCCCTATCTTTCTCTCTCTCCTCCCCCTATCTTTCTCTCTCTCCTTTTTTTTCCCCCCCCGATCTTCTCTCTCTCCTCCCCCCTATCTTTCTCTCTCTCCTCCCCCCTTCTTTCTCTCTCCCTCCCCCCTATCTTTCCTCTTTTCCTCCCCCCTATCTTTTCTCTATCTTCTCCCCACGTATCTTTCTCCCTATCCATCCCCTATCTTTCTCTCTCTCTCCCCTATCTTCTCTCTCTCCTCCCCCCTATCTTTCTCTCACTCTGATCCGCCTCTATCGTTTCGCGTCTCTCTTTCTCCGAATTCTCGCTTCTCCTTCATCCTCTCTTTCTCTCTCTTTCTCCTCCACCTCGCTTTCTCTCTTTTCTCCCTCCATACTCTCTTTGCTCACGCTTTTCGCTCTATCCTCTCTTTCTCTTTATGTTCTCCCCATCCTCCGTTCTCTCTCTCTCTCGACCCCCGAATCATCTTGCGCCCTCTCTCTAATTCCTCTCTCTAGCTGCTCGCTCTCTATCGATAATTCCCTCGCTCTCTCTCTCTATCTCTAATTTCCCTCTCATCTCGTCAGTATCTCTATCTCTAATTCCTCTCATCTCTCAGCTCTCATTCTCTCAGTCCGCTGTCTGCTCTCTCTCTCTCTCTCTCTCTCTCTCTCTCGCTCTCGCGCTCCTATCTCTCTCTCTCTCCTCTCTCTCTCTATCTCTAATTCCCTCTCTCTCTCTCTCTATCTCTAATTCCCTCTCATCTCTCAGTCTCTCTATCTCTAATTCCCTCTCATCTCTCAGTCTCTCATCTCTCAGTCTCTCTTCGCTCCTCTCTAGGATCTTATCTCTCGCTCTCCTAATTCCTCTTTCTTTTACTCTTTCATTACTCATTTAATTTCTTCTCGTCCTTTCAATATTTCCCAATTCCCTGTTTGTTTTTTAACTCTGACATCTACCATTTGATTACTTTGTGACATATAATTACTCATTTAATGATGTGTAGGTGGCAACTTTAAAATCATCAATAGAAAAACATATACCTAAGATGACAAGTCATTCCTATTTGCACGATGGGTAGCAAGGGGAGGTTGACAAATTCAAAATTTAAGGGTTTAAAATCCTACCCAAGAACACTTTCTATTGTTACATGCATGGAAGGCCTTACCTACATGAGCTGCTGCATCGTGGTTGGATGGGGGTGATGATGCCCTCATGTACTCATGAGTGTTCATCAAATCTGATGCACAAAGGGATTGTCATGATCTGGCGCATCATCTCAGGGTGGGTCAGCATCTCCCTCTGCATGCGCTGCTGCAGTTCCCTGCGAAAGTTGGAGGTTTGCCCATGACCATGTTCGCGCTAGCCACCCCAGTAACCCAGTCCCAGGCTTCCCCAAGACCACCCATGCCTGCAAAGGGCTTGGCAGCATTGGCTTGGTGTGGCTGCTTGTGGTGGGGCGGAGGCAAGATAGGGAGTGGCAAGCAAGGTGTGCGAGGTGGCTGAGGCAGGCCGTGTTGTTAGGGTGGGCCGAGCCAGAGGGGCTACTCTTGATCACAAGGTGCACTGTGAAGCCCTCTTGATTGTGCGATTAGGTTTTCACATGCAATGAAACATAAGTTATACAGCGATTAAACTGTGCCAGTAGATACCCTTAATTTCGAGGCGGTGCTACGAAATAACATACTAAGGTTAAATAGTCTTAAAACCTAGATATGCAATCTTACACCCCATACATGCTGGGAATGGCATGAAACGAAGACCTGGCCCCTGAAAGTTAGTCTATTATCCCTGAACTGCAAAATTAAATTCAAGGCCAACCATACTGAGGTTAAAATTGCACCACAAATAGAATTGCAGGGAGTTGATATCTGCAATAATTTTAGTACTTTAGTTTGAGAATTTTGCAAATGTTCAAAGGATATAAGACCATTAGGTCGCATGTACGGGGTTAGTGATTCAGCAAATTGTATGGAAGTTAGTAGGGCTATGTACATTTCTTGCAGATGTTTTCACCGCTCGGCTATCCTATCTATCCTATCTATGCGATCTGTCTCTCTCTATCTTCTCTCTATATCTTCACTCGCGCTCGCTTCTTCTATCTCTCTCTCTTCTCTCTCTCTCTCTCAACAAGGCCATGGGATAAAATCTGCTTTCCACACTAATGGTAATAATATTTATAAGCAGTATATCAAACTTATAACAGTCAAAAGGTCAATCCACTAACCAGAGAATATCATGTCACAGAAGGGCATCACAAGCTGGATGGAGGTATACCATACATGTGCAGTGAAGCCTGATTCTAAGTGGTGTGTGTAAGCAGCTGTTCAGTTTGTTTGGCAAGACTGCAGTCCTGAAGAGATTAGTCGCTCAAAATCAGGCAAAATATTTTCATTTTCTTAAAACTTTATGTGTAAGCCAATCCAAATGGCAGAGTGAGAGGGCGTAAAAATATGTCTTCTGACACTTTTAATTTTCACTTAAGCCGCTGCCCATGTGCAAACAGCCTTGTTGTGAGGCTCAGGATGTATACGCCAAAGAAATTCCATCATAATGGGTAATTCTGTTTATACTAGCTTTCTGTACAACGTGATTAGTGACTATGAGTCAATCAATAGGCCAACCCTACTTCACCCTGTACTCTATTCCTTTAATTTTAGTGGAGAAGAAAATTTGCCATTGCTCTGAAGAAAAATATTCTCTCACTATGATTTTCCACTATTTTAAGGTATGGAATTCAAACGAATGTTATTTCCTTTGTTGATTAGGAAACAAAGGAAATAATGTTAAAAAATATCCCAGATAGTGTAACAGTTTTGAAACGTAAAAGCTTTCTTAGAAATATTTCTACTTCGTAAGTGAAATGATTAAAGCACACCCTCGCATACTTAACACTTTCTTCAAACTTGCAAAGTTAGCTCAAGCTTTTTTCTGTGGCTATAAACATGCATGCAAAAACAGAGTTTAAAAATAATATAAACTCTCTAACAAGAAAACACTAAAATGCCATTTTACAGGTTTTATTGTTAAAAATAAGGAATATAGTAAAATAAAATAATGTTGGAATTCTCACAGGAAAAAAAAGTAAGTGGAAGGAAAGTACTTCAGAGAGAAAAAAAAAAAAGTTAAGGAATATCTATACCCGAACATTATTCAAAAAGAAGTGTTGGAGAATGAAAGGAGGAACATCATTATTATATCAAAAACATAACAGACTTCTCAGCAAATTTGGTATTTCACAATATCAAACTCACCATCTTTCAGAAATTTTCCTGCAAAGATGAGACAGACTTGACTCCGAGATGCACGAACTTCTCCACTGACGAGTTCACGTAGATAGAAAAAAGATGAATACAAATCAAAACAATTCGTAATGACTTTGCAACATCTAATTGCAATAATAATATGGGACATGGAATAAAGATAGTCACTGTGAGAAAAGTATAGACGGCTTGAATGTTAAAGAAGGATTCCATGCAGAAACACCATGTTTAATGATCCCAACAAAGTTTGTCAAAAATACATATCAAGCACGATTACCAGCATATGTTTACAACAGCGTGAACTAATGCTCTATGATCTGTGTTTTCTCCCGTACATTACCTTTGGGTCACAAAAATTGTCTTTAAAATAGAAAATGAGTAGTTACAAGTCCAGTAAGACTGAGCTTGCTTCATTGTCTAAGCGGTATCCGCATCAGGAATACAACAGAATATATCCTTTATCTAGCTTTTTTATTATGAAACATTGCGAAGCTCAGATATTTTGTGACTCTAAAACGCTCTGGTGTTAGGACTACCTGGTCATAAGAAGTGTAAACTTTTTACATTTTATATATCTGCCTTATGCTAATATACTTCAGAAAATATTAACAAAAATAAATTTTTAAAAAATAATAAAGATGGACACAATTAAATGTAGTAGGATATCAAGGTACTTCCTATAATTTAATCTTACTGTAACCATATTTATGGGGCAACCAAAGTTCAATTATGATTATCACAAATACTCTCTATAAAAGACAGCTCTAACTGTTGTAATCTGATCAGCAAGTATGGTAAACGTTACAGTGTGGAAATAAAAGGCTCCCACATTGCTATCATCAAAATAAATAGCAATTGAACAAATGGTTTGTCGCTAGAATTGGGGAAAGGTTACGCTTACCTTCATTTGTACATCCATAAGATTAACACAGCACATTAATCAACGCGGATACTGTAATAACTTTTTAACTAATTTGGACGCATGACAAAACAAAAAATGACAAAAACGGCCGTTTATTTCATAATTTTACAATTATGTAAACTTTACAATCAGCAGTGTGTATGCCATTTTGACCTTTGACCTCTCATTCAGCAATGTTCTAAACAATGTAACATGTGATCGTGAACACTAAATCATCTTTTGAAATCAATGATTAAGGAATGTCTTACTAAAGAGTGATATTTCTAACCCAGAGAAAATATGATGTCATTGCAGAATGTTTAGTGAATGTACCTCCACATAAATGGCCATAAGTACTCTGCTACAGGAATCAATTAGCACAGTCTATGTGCCCTCACCTGATTTTCCCCTTGTCTATAGTCTAAGATATTTTTTTATGCTATTATAATTTTTGTACTTATAATATACAATGTTATTAACAATACTAACGGCAATAAAAACATATAAAGATTTCTGAAATCAAGGAAAAGGTAATCAGGTAAGGTAAGGTCCAAAGAATAGTGATTGAACATTGGGGATAAGCACTTGTGGAGCCTATGTATATACAAAAAAATTAATTTATGAGGGCATGCTATCCCTACGGCAGCGGTAAGTCAGTTAACCATATTGGCTCTGGGTTTAATTGCACTGGTCACTGTAATTTTACTTTGTGAATTTGGTTGAAGCTATATCCAAGTCTGAAGTTTTCAGGAGTCAATATTACGTTTTTCTATATGTATTAACTCATTACTATTATTGGCTATTTATCTTATTACTGGATCTGGGAATATCACATATGTGTACAATACTAATAGTAATAAAGTTATAAGAAATAAAATTCTTCCAAAAATCAGGTTACAAGCGGGGTAACAGAGGTCAGGATTGGACTAGTTACTGATCCTTGTGACTACTCCTGTGGGCCATATATTGAATATATTCAAAAGTACAGTGGAAATGGAGATGTCAAGCCAATCTGGCAATTCATAGGTTGGAGGCATCAATCTGAGGTTAGTAAAACAAAATTACTTAGGTCAATTCATCAGTAAAGAAATGGAACATTAGTCTTGGTTGAGCGGGGATCCCTACACAACCACACTGAGTGTCTGTAAGCTCAGAAGCAGGATGGGTCCAACACATTAAAAAGTGTCCCTCCATAGAGAAAGTCATCAGAAAAGAGTAAAGTGTTCCAATAACCTACTGGATGAACTACACATCCAGAGATAGTCATGGAATTCTATGAATGTCATACATATCAGGGGCGGGGGGGGGCAATTGAGGAGAGAACACATAAATTTAAAAAGAAACTCTACCTAGGTATGAATTATTATATAATACAACCACCTGCAAACTACACTGATAACCCAATATTTAAAAATAGAAACAAAATAACAACTTTCATTTCTTAGCATTATGATGACTATGCTGCTATTAGTGTAATCAGTAATGTACAGGAGGACATAATAGTGGATTGCTAAAAACTAAAGTTGGAAGGAATGCAAATGCGCATGATCAAAATGAATATTGTGGAAATCTTTAACATTTTAGTGAGGCATCATGTTAGTTGTAATATGTATCACTAATTCTATAGTTAAATATATCTAATATGGATGAATAAGCACCATTTAGACAATTCAAGTAATAAGCGTCCTAGGAATATACTACAGTCTTATTTTGGCATCATCTTTCCACTTATAGCTGTGAATGAGAGCAGGCCCACACAATCTGTGCCATTCTATGAGGGGATTTTGATCTCGGTTTCCTCTTCAAGCTGAGCAAGTATTTTTCTCCACTTCAAATGGTCCATTAGACAGAAGAGATTAGTGGATTGCCCCTGACAACTATACTCAAACACAATTGTTCTAGGTAATACTAATATTCAGTTACAAGTTAGTCTTAACATCCATGGTATAATTGGGTTGAAATCCTGGGTATACACTTCATCTCAAAATGAATACAGAAAGATGATATAACGATTAGATGTTACTTAAGACTCCACATACAAGTTCAGGGCCAACACTGTATAATGAATGAAATTAATAAGTTCACACTGTATATAAAACCAATGTTTGATATTTATGTTTTCTTCATCTGTACTAACCTTATTAATGAAGAGGTAAAATCAATATGATAAGCATAAAAAAAAATATATATATATATCCTGTATACCAGATGTATGGCTGCAACACCTTACACATCACTCCTACTGATTAACACCATATAAACATTTCTTTTAGGCAATTCCTCTGGGTCTTTCACCCTTAAATCCCAGCAATTCAAGCCACACTTACTTCCCCAACATATAGGGCACAAGAAGAGGCTCACAAAACAAACATCCAACAATTTACGTTCTGGGGAGAGCGTAGATGAAACGGCACAATTTTTCCATTCAAAATAGTGGTTGTCCCAGGTTTGGTCTTGTCAAAATGTATGTGGTGGAAGTTTTTTGGCCTTTGCAAGAGCACTGACACGGCACAAAGGACTGGAGCACTTGCATGATACCAAAACTCCTATGCTTACACAGAATGAACGACCATCCATAAAAGATCACAAAGCTTTTAGGTGAATTTCCAAACTCTATAACCAATGTGATTGCTGCGAACTGGAAAATTCATGCAAATCGATAACACCAAAGAAAAATTTTATGAACCTAAAAAAATAAATTTTTTATGTTAGGGTTACCAGAGGGACACACAGAGGGATATGACGGGAAATAGACCACTGACACCTTATAAGATGGATTTAAAAAAACGAGTCATAAGCCACACAGGTCATCTGCAGTGGCCTCATATTACGAATAATGATGAAAATATCTGTGCAATTTAACCACTCACAGGGGACTAAGTCCACAACAGCTCACACAGCCAGAGTTCTTAATGTCCGTTTTATATAAGTTGGCACAAGGTCGTAAAAATGAGGGGGCGTGCCCCCCTATTGGGACTCAATAGAATGGCCTTAGGGCAAGGTCTAACAGGTTGTGTTTTGGTTCGAATGTGATCCTGGTTTTGGGACTTTGTGTCTGGTGGGCACATTGTTCTCGGTAAAACAAATACATTCTTTTCGTGTGAAGGTTAAATATCTCTTTAGGGAATAAAACTACGAAGCTTAACAAATAGTTATTAATTCTCTATTTTTACTGTATAAGGAAAAATTTTCCCCAAAAATTCTATAAAATCCAATAATACAAACTACCTATACATAAAACTCCTAAACTCCTGTAAACCGTCGTACTTCTTCCTCATTCCTACTAAGGCACACTTATATTCCACTGAAACTTGATGCACCTCAACATCAAGGGATAATAAGGTATGAGGTTTGATGTGGGATCGCTACACTCTTTCACCACTCAAACTTAAGAATCCCACCCCTGTTTAATGCAGTGGTTTTTAAGCTCTCTGGGTACGCAGGGTAAACAGCCAAGAGAGGCTATAGTGTTGGTCAATGGAAAATTGGATACTATTCACATCAGGAAAATGAGGTATGAAACTGTTTATTACGCTCTCATTCTATACTTTACCGAAATATTCGTCAATAATGTGGCAAGTCGGGTTTTGCCATGAATTTCCTGACAGCTTAGCTGCATTAATTATATTAATATTCCAATAGCATGAAAGGTTATGCATAATGTGTAATTTGTGATGTATAAAGGAAATACATACAATATTACTTATCTAAATATGCAGTAAGGTATATTCACATGATAGACTTAAAATGCATGAATGTACTTATGTGTAACTAGATGCATTCCTAAACAAGAATGCACAACTCATGCTACACTGTTGGATTTCATTCCAATGGGACACCAAAATAGCGAAGGCTAATATTGGTACCAATTTATTGTTAAGAACCGTTACTGATGATCTGCTGAGAATTACTGGCACTCGTCTAGCCGATTTCACTTAATGCATGTAGACAATGAAGAACAATGAAGCGAAAATTGCAGGCCACATAGGCCTACATGGCTGTGGCAGAAGACGCCGCGAATAGTCGGATTTCCGGGGCGCAAGTCCTTTTATTTAAGTCATTTCGGCATAAATCCTATACCCGCCCTGCCGAAGGAAATGAAGGAGGTGAGGGAGAGGCAAGCCATGGCCATCGAAAGGCCAGAGTGCCAACAGAAATACGCGGTCAGTGGCATGCCAAGAGGAGCTGACAAAGGAAGAAAGGGCTGCAGGACGTGGTCTACTATAAATCCTTTACGCCTCGCATCTTAGCCTATCTCGAGGATATGCTTGTCCTCGCAGTTTCACGTCAGATTGATCGTTTGGGCACCTTGATTCCCTCCCATGCAGAAATAAGGCGAAAATTACGACCGTTTATCTCCTCTCTTGTGATCAATCCGACTGACGAAACATGAGTGAACCAAAAGCCCTGGGACAACGTTCGGGTCCTAAAAAAGACAAAGGGAGCGGTGCTTGCAATTATCATCAGCGCGAGCGGTGAATATTTCAATTAATTTTGGTAACTCGAGTGAGTGGTATTAGTTTTTGGCTGCTGCTGATATAAAAGTTATTGACGAGAGACTTGTTATACGTCCTGAAATGTAGGACGTCACAGCCGAGGCGGGGGAAAATGACGTCGTCTGCAGCAGGTTTAAATCCTCTTTTATTTCACCAAAGCCCGTAGATAACTGAATAAGCATTTTTGCATTCATTTAATCGATATATCAACGGGGAAATTTATCCATAAGTATGATGGCCGTAGATCGGCAAATAATAAAATATAGTCTGACTCAAAAGTACTGAAAATATTTTCCGACTCTCAGGGCCCATCGGGGATTGAAATTAGAACTACAAATAACACAATTACACGCTGAAATGATAAGAAAATAGTTGTCAAGAGAAGTCTGAGAATATATAAGCACCCGATTAGAAAAACGCCGTTTCGGGTTTTAGGTGTTACAGTGCAACTAAAAAGATAAGTAAGCATTTCAGGCAGGTAGGACTTCAATGAAAACTATCTAATATCTATTGCCATTTAAGATCTACATGTGTATATAT